GTAACGTAAGTAAGAACGTAACGAAGTAACGTAACGTAAGAAGTAACGTAACGTAGTACGTAGGTACGTAGTAGGTAGGTTAGGTAGGTAGGAGGAGGAGGAGGAGGAGAGAGAGAGAGAGAGAGAGAGAGAGAGGACAGGTCAGGTGGTCATGTGGAATTTAATTTTGTAGAAGCTCTGGAAGCATAATAGGGCCAGTAGACCTTTGGGAATATTCACCATTTAGGGATACCGGCATCATGAAATAAACAGTGTTGAACAGATACCTGCCCAGAACAATTGATAAAATCATTCATTCCTTTTATCATGGAGGTTACTCCAATCTATAGAAGACTGAAAAACCAACAGCCAAGAGACTATATAGCACCCATAGTTTTTATACAAGGAGTTCACTCATTTTCAGCGTACGCCCTGTCCATTATACGGTAGCTTCCTTCAGCAATTTCTCCTTTCAGCAGGTGCCTATGATGTTCTTTGTACCCCAATGACACATCTATTGTCATGGGGACTAATTATTCGCTAGTCAATGTGTGGCACCAAGCCAAAACCAAACCCAGACTAGGGAAAGTCCAGCCTTCCACAAGCAGAAACAAGAGGAATAAAGCAAGCAAAATGCACAAGTATATAAAGGGGCCATAGCCTGCTCGTCTTAGCTCTATACGATTGGTCGTATACAGCCAAGGATACCCCTCAACTGTCTAGGCAACAAGTTTATATAGCCCATGATATTTACTTATACATTAGCCCTCATTTACATGGCCATTAAGGCTTGCACCACTTAGTGTGATAATTACAACAGCCCACACCTACCATGAATGATTTCCTGCAACACTGATTAAAGGGGGGATGGGTGGTTTAAGATTTGGTCGATCCACTCCATGGGTCTTACTACCTATGCTTGCTAATTCAAATATGCATGGTTATCACAGGGCCATTAGCCTATTACTACCCATATAGTCTGTTAATATGCATTCACCCTCTTTCACATAACCCATGGTCGTTATACAAGTTGATCCTTGGGGCAGTTACCCATTTCAAATTCGAATCTAAACTTGATCACTGTAATCAACATGACTGCCTCACCAGGTGCATGGTCAGCCGCCTCTTGCACAAGGACGACACCTTGTCCCATCAGGTCGTGCTGGTCGGTGTCCAACCAACCAAGCGTCAGCCTGTTAGACTTAGTAGTTCACCAAGTCCTGCTAACTTAGTAATCTATCCACACTACTGGACCAAGCCCTCGCACTTAGGGTCTTTGTTGCTAGCCCAAACTTTCCAATACCAGAGAGTGATGCACCACTATAGAACTTACTTAAGAAGGAGGTGATTTGAGAGAGACACTATGGAAGGCCTTCCCAAACTACTTCATATGCAAGATTGAGCACCACTGCAAAGTTTGTTGTCTACTGGGCCCTTAGTTACTGCAATACAGTGGGCAAGTCTCAGCCACTTTGGCTCCTCACCTTGACCTAAGTCCAACCTTGCAGCCCAGGCACAAAGTTGAACAGATCTTTCTCGGTTAATGTTCTAAATGTCCAACATGAGAGATGCAAACATCTTCAACGGCTCCCTCACCGAGCCCGTTTGTCGAAGCTTTCGCAAAGCCTCATAAATCACCTAGGCCACATTCCTTGGGAAGTAATGGTCCTTCAACTCTTGTTTCAAGGCCTCCCAAGTGCTCACATAAGCCCTGAACCGGCTTCAACCCGCATCTTCCATCAAAGTTTGGCAACCTGGTAAGGAACGTAGTGCAAATAGCAACTTCGTCTTCCACACAGGCATGACTAGCCTCAAAGTACTACTCCATGTCCCATTGGAAGTTCTTCGACACCTTGGAGTCCCTCATACTTTTGCACACCCAGGGCCGTAGTACCCCCACACTTCGAGAGTCCAAGCAGCCCATGGCGTTGCACAAGGCCTTTACAGAGTCAAGAGAATCGGCTTGAAGGAGTCTTGAGAGTTTTGAGGTCATCCATGAGCCCTCCCATAGGACAATCATAAACACCATAGCACTCCTTCACATTAGTCCCCAGGAAATTGATCTGAGCCCCAATGGGCTGGAGAAGCTCTGCTCCAACCCATGTCTTGACCCCTTGGGTCACAATATGCTCCAACAACTCCTTGAGTTGGTTGACACACTCAGATTTTGGCTGCAAAACCACCAACCATGGTCATGGAACCCACTCTAATACCAACTGTCACAAGGTTATTCACTTAGCCAAACTGTCTAGTGCTAACCCAATGTCGAATACCAACAAGGGCAAGGCTAGCCTCCCGCAAAGCACACATAAGAGTAATGAAGCAGAAGGATATACAAGGCGTACAAAAGTGTAAAACAAGGCCATAGCCCACTATTATTAGCTCCATTCACTTCATCGTACACAACAATGAATGCCCTTTAAGGGTCCGACCAAGGGGTTTATAAAGTCCAGAGAATGCATCCACACAATCATTTTCACTTACACATTAAGGACGACACCACAATTACTGCCAACTATCTATTGTGGCAGTTGCATTAACCCACACCAAATCATTAATGACTCGCACATGGCTGATTAAGGGTGGTTAAGGGCCTGTTCAACCCACTCCACCGCTAATTACTGACCATGCACTCCGTTCAAACATGCACGGTCATTACACATCAACTACTGCTTACACAAGCCATTGCATGTGCACTCACTCTCTCACACGTCTAATTGCTGTGACACAAGCCTATTCTTGGGGTAGTTACACATTTTCAAATTCCAACTAAACACTTCACATTTGTGATGAACAAACCTGCGTAGCCAGGATGGTTGATGGCCTCTTGCACATGGACACCATGCCCCTATCTCATCAGCCCAAGCCTGATGTAGGGAAATTAAAAGAGAACAAAATAACAACAATTGAGGTCAAACACAAGCAATAATTAGAAGAAACCTACGTTTTCTTTCTTATCCAGCTAGGGTTTCAAAAGCTTGGGGATTTTCCTTTTTGTGAAATAGTGACATGAAAACCACTCAAGGGCCCCACATACTTCTTAAATGATTTTTATTTAATTGTTTAAGGACATTAAATGGCCATATAATGAATAAAATGACCCAAAATTTCTAACTTCATCACAAAATTCCTTTAATAACAATTTTACCCCTAATAGGATAAAATATTCCATAAACATTCATAAGCAGGTTTTCAAACAACTCTTAAAAATCCAAAATATATATAAAAAAAAAAAAGCCTACAATCCCTAAAAAAATGAAAACCCTAAAATCAACCCTAAAATTAAAATTAAAATATAAATAATTTGTATCTTTTGAAATTAGAAATAAGAAATATTCTGTCATACATCAATCTCCATTAGTTTGGAAAACGCATCCTAGAGTTTTGAGGTAGGCTAAGATGAATCCAACATCAAAACTACCTTCTTCTTCATTGTTTGCTCAAATAAGATGAAACCTCAAGAAACAGATCTCGAGATGTGCATTGAGGAATTGATACAAATTTATCGAATTCAACTATCCCTGAACTCGCATTGAAAATTTTGTAGGAAACTAAAACTCTTATTTTTGGCCTTTAGAGGCTTTCTCGAGATCTATTTCATTACTTTTTTAGTGCATTCAGTCACACTGTTTACCTCTTGGTGAAGATTATTGAAGTGGGAGAAGAACATTTAGCTGTAGTCGACTGGCAGGAATTTCTCCTTCAACCTCACTTTCTTCTTTTTTCCCAATGTTGAAATCTACGGTTTTCCTTTTCAATGGCACATTGGCTGGACTTTGTCTGACCATGAAAAATCCTACCTGTGAAGCCTTGCTGCTACAAGTTTCACACAATGTTTATTTGGTACTTCATTGTAATCAAAGTACTAGTGCTCAACCAATCAAGAAACTCTTTAAGGTGTAGCTGGCCACGGAAATCCGGCAATTCAATTTTGATCGAGTCTTTCACGACCTTGGGCCCGGTTTCCCCATCCTGTGTCAACGTTGATTGATAAAGGGATTAACATCTAACTCATCGCTCAAGTCAGATTGTGTTCACTACGAGCTTCTTGACACTCGAGTGACAAGGTTAACTGTTCCACTTGCCTATGAAGTGCCTCAAACTCTTCCATCTCTTGTGTTGTTCACCACATAATTGCCACATCCACCTCTCGCCCTCCTTGCCACATTGGAAAAGGATGTGCTAAGAGTGACAACAACCTGCCCAAGCCTGAACTCAGGCTCTGATACCAAATGATGAAGCGATCCAAACAGCAGCAAAAGATGAAAGAGCAACAAAGAAACTAAGAGAAAGGAGAAGTGGTGCACCATGGGAGCAAAGCTCTGCCAATAAGTTTTACAGCAACATTAAGACTATTTTTCTTGTTGCCCTTACAAAAGAGAAGCTACGTACATATACAGACCATTAGAAAGACATCTAGACACATTCTAGAACACTAACAAAATATTTTTTAAAACTTAGCCACTAAGAAACAAAATGAATTAGCATTCATGATATTGGAACTCCCACCTAGTGCCTAGACTTAGAAATCGTGCTCATGCAGCGCATTTTCCTATGACACACATTTTCAATACAAAAAGCAATAGTTGTTTCATTCATCTATGGCTACTATGTGCTTAGGCATGCCTCATGCCTGCATCAGTAAGCCACATTTGTAAACCACTAGACACCAGTTCTTTTCTTTTATCTCTCTATATATGGATGTGCAAGGGAAATTTGCACCAAATCTGCTAGAAGATCCCAAACTCAGCTAGATTCATGTTAGCCATCAAGTTCCTATAGAACTCTATAATTAACTTCTCTTCTTATGAGTTCCTTCTCCATTTTCAGTGAAGTGGTGGGAACTACATGGCATCAGAGCTACTAACCCACAAAGAATGGCAATAAAGGTGCTTAGCCAAATCTATTCCACAGCAGGCAGTGAGCGAAATTATTGTGCATCCTGGGAGGGAGCCACATGCCAAGGAAGAAAAGATTGGCTGCAGCCAAGCTTCACAAGTTGGTCAACCTCCATTACAGATTTTAACCTCTGAAAGCAGCTGAGGAGAGATGTGGGAACTATAAACCTATCAGCTTGGGCCATGTCTTTGTGGAAGATTAAGTAGAGGATTGGTTGGTGCAAATGCAGAAATTAGTTCTCACTTCTCAACAAGAGGGTACCTGAAGTAGAGATGAGCCCATCAATGAAGAATGAGAAAAACGTTATGAATGAATATGTACAAGTCAAAACAGTTGTACAAATTGAAGAACAAGTGGAAGATGGAGGAGATAATGTTGTCTAATGCTCGTAACATAGGGTTCTACAAGTGAGCATGAGCAGCGAGGTGGAAGCAAAAACAAGGGTAGGACGAGCCTTGGGACCTTTAGTTAGAAGGGACTACCCAAGTTACCCAACCATTAGAGTCAGTCTTGAACCTTACGGAGATGGCCAAGATTACTACGATCCTCCTCATTAATATTGGCTGTCGAGTTAGATCTTCAGTGTTTTCTAGTTACTAGTGAGCTGTGACTCCAGCAGTCAACTTTTTACTGTAAATACTCGTGGATACATTTGAAAAAAATTTAATTGACATGTAAGACTAGTTAATTTAAAGTTGTTCATTGGAGCTTGGAAATAGTTGGGCACTTTGAAGTATGAATGTACGTTTTCAATTTGGTATGCTCTTATGAACGCGAAATACCGGTATGCACTAATATTTATACCACATTTGCACTATTCTGGTATGAATACTAGTAATAATGATTCAAGAGCACTTGAGGGTGAAACACGTCAAAAATTGTTTATAATACTTAGTATTTAACTTTTTCCTCCATATCCGTACATTTTATTAATTTTTTTAAACATTTTTCCTTTTTTTTGGACTTTTTCATTTTTTGAAACTTAAACAGACTCACTACGCTGACTCAAGGTTCACTAAGCCGACTCGAACTACACATTACCTAGTATAGTTATGGATCGGCCAATCCGGTTGTTCAGACCACTGACCAGCGTTTAGGCTGCTCTAGTCCAAATCAAAAACCCGGTTTGGCTAAAAACCAATTGTTGACCAATTTAGTTGGTTGGGTCAACCCCTTTGGACCGGTTAAACAAAGCCAGCAAATTTTTAGTATATTTTATATTTTTAAATATTATTATTACTTCCTTATTCTTTTTAAATTCAATTCTAATGTTTTAAAAAACGGTCCGCCTTGCGCCTAGGCGGCCTGGACCAAAAATCTGCCCGCCTAGACCCAAGCGGCCCTACATGGGCGGATGTATCGGAGCGAGCACTCAGGCGGGCTAGGTAGGCACCCACACGGGCTAAGCGGGCACCCAGGCAGGCTAGGCGGGCGCCTAGGCGGATGTACCTGGGCGGGCGCCCAGGTGGGCTAGGCGGGCACCCAAGCGAGCTAGGTGGGCGCTCAGGCAGGCTAGGCAGGCACCCAAGGACGTAAGGCATTTCTCATTTATTTAAAACTACGAGGCACCCAAGGTTTTGGACGCTCGCCTAGGCGCTGGGCACCAGGCAGGCCGCCTAGGGGCTGCCTAGCGTTTTTTGAAATCTTGTTCGATTCAACTGGTTTGATTGGCAATCAGACCATTTTTTATCAGACTAGGCCCCTCACCTGTTCAAGGGCCAGTCTGATCCTGATAACACTGCTGCCCACTTTTGTACTCATTCTGAGTTTTAGAATATTGATCAACACTTACGTAAGACATTTGATTATCAAGACACATGGTTTAGTCTTTCTTATACATTACATTAGAAAAACATTGAACCCACAACCTTTCATAGTAATATTAAAGACTACAACTATACCAAAATTATTACTTGTAAACGCCAAATTCTATTACTAATTATTAGTAGTGTCTTAAAGTAAGAATTATTTCCAAATT